CTGTTTTCATATCATTTCCACCATTCTCTCCCCTTCCAACTCCTCCCATGTCTCCTCCACTTACTCTCATATTCGTGACCTCTTCTGCTATACTATTATCATTATGTGAAAAGCCTTATTGAAACCTACTACTTTGTAAGACAACTAAGACTAAAATTTTAAAAGACAGAATAAGAACAGAGGTAACCTGAATGGATGGACAATGCTGTTCTCAGAAGCCATGAGTTACTAAATGAAAATCCCAGTGCCAGGTATGGCATACTTCCATATGAATTGTTGGCCAGGGAGGTATTAGTGGCCCAGAAGAACAATATAAGCTATTTCTATTGGTCTTGTTTGCCCACCAGAATGGAATCATAAGATCTTGCTGAAGTTACCACACACTTTGATTGCAGCTCATAAAGAAATCAAGCTCACACTGAGCTGGAAGCTTCTTCCCTGCTGGTTAGTTTTCATTGTGCCAAGACAGTGCTATGTGTCGATCGCCCTCCAAGCCCACCAGGCTTGGGTCTTCAACAAAAAAGACACTCAGGCATAAGTCTGAAGTTATGCGAGGAATTTATTAAAGTGACAGCAGGTACAGAGAGGAGAGCGTTCTCTAGATGGAAAAATCAAGAAGAATCTACTCCCCAAGGCATTTATCCAACCCGGAGTTTGGGTCACCTAGGTGAATCTCCACAACAAACATTTAAGGGTTACTAAGAGACAGCACGAGGGCCGAACTGAAACTAGCTTTCTAGAAGACTTGATTTATCATCCAGGCTACAGCCTGACAGCTCTGACCACTGAAGCAGAGAGCTCAGAAGCTCTTAAAGTGACACTCTCCAAATTTCCAATGCTTATGGCAAGCATGGCTCCCGACAGCTATGTAGGCTTCTTTGGTAGAAAGAACATCAATTATTTCACTCAGCTCCAGGCACTGTGTGAGACAATGAAACCTTGTCAAGGAAGATAAGACCACTGTTGCAGCATTGGCATAACTGTTATAAGGGTAACCAACCATTTTTTAGTGGATTTAAAGTTTGTTCCACAAGAGAGAATTCAGGCCTGGTACTGTAAACCTTATAAAAAGCCCACAACTAGTGAGAGATCATAGGCCCTAGGGTGGAGAACCTACTGTTGTTGTTTTGTTAAATGATCATGTTGCCAAGATGCCTTCTAAATATTTATGAGGGGCTTGGGAGCGAGAGTTGTTTGTTTGAGACATGATCTCCCTATCGTGTCTCTCTATCTATAGGGAGTGATCTCCCTATTGCTCCAGCTGGCCTGGAACTTGCTATGTAGACGAGGCAGGGCTTGATCTCACAGAGATTTGCCTACCTCTGACCCCTGAGTGCTGAGATTAAAGGTATGCACCACCACACCTGGCTCTAAATATTTATGTTTATACCAGTAGACCTATACTTCTTTCAACCTTGATCAGGGAAGCTTCTTTTTGAATCCTCACAGGGGATATAATACCCTAAATACTACATTGTAAGTTGAATCCACATCGCTAGAATTTTTTAGTTGAGAAAGATAACACATCAGTGGTCTTACCTAGCTGTGAAGTCTGTGAACTACAACAACCTGCCAGGCAAGATGTGCCCACCTGTGCAATAATGGCACATCTGTCTTGGGATAACCAACAACTTTCTAATTGGACTTGAGAAGTACCAGGATCATATCTCTTAATTCTTGCTACTATTTATTTCTTTCAGTGTCTACATTGTTTTACTAATCTGTTCTGGCTTTTCACAAACTTGTACAACTTTTTCTTTTTCTGGAATTAACCCTTAATTTACTCTCCTAGGTCTAGGGAAAAAATCCAGAGTATGGCACAAAATTCAATTTCTAAGCAAGCCTTCCCTCTGTTTGGTATTTTCCCTGGGAAAAATATGAATTCCCACATCACCTAGTGTCAGTAGTTCAGCCTGCATAAGACTATCTGATTCTGCAGTTTCTTCCTACTTTCCCCACCTTCAGAAAGAAGGAAACAATCTGGGTGTTGTGGCACATGCCTTTAATCCTAGCAGTTGGGAGGCATAGACAGATAGAGCTCTATGAGTTCAAGGCCAGCCTAATCTATACAGCCAGTTCGAGCCCAGGCAAGGCTACATAGCCCCTCAAAAAAAGAAGGAAGGAAGGAAGGAAGGAAGGAAGGAAGGAAGGAAGGAAGGAAGGAAGGAATCATCTTTCCTTTTTAACTCTTAGCATCACTGTAGTATAGATCAGGAATCTAACCTTGTCCCATTGTTTCCTTAGTTATCCCTCTAAATGAGAGCATCCAAAACTCCTTTCATCATTTCAAATATTCTACTGAAACCAGCACCTCATGTGACATTGACCTTCCCCAAAATCCCTTTTCTGATCATCTACACACTGGACATAAATGGCCTCTAGTTCAATTTCCAAATGAGTTATACTATTTCCATTAAAAATTATCTGTAGGCATTCATCAAATTTTTTTCTTAGTCTCATCCTTAACAGGATATATAATATATTAACAGAGATAGGAAGTTGTGTCATAGAACTCTGGTCCTTGTTAGCAATATGTTTATTTGTCCTAAAGATTTTTTATAGAGCATTGTAGTGTAGTCAGAGAATGCAACCTGAGAACCTTTCCAAAGTATATCTTCTTCATGGTCATAGTCTCCCTAAAGTCACTAAAAGCTTCTTCTGTGCATTTTCAATATAGCTTAGTCTCCAATTATTCCTCAAAGGACAGGCTCCAGAAACCCAGGTATGTAGCCCATACATTTGTCCCCTTCTTCACTGTCCCCTAACTGTAGTGGCATGTGCTCAGTGATTGTAGTCAGTCACCTCTACAGGACTCAGAGAATTAGTCCTAGAGAAGTCCTGGATAATTATTGTATCATTAATGGGTTATTCAGGATCTGGACTCCTCTGGGATGCAGAACCTCTTACGCCCAGGGATGACTAGAAGGGGAGATATGAGAAAGGGTGGAACAGATATAGGTGTTGACTAGAAAAGGTATTTTACCAGGATCTTGGCATCACCATCAGCCATTCTGGGCGAGTTGAAGAGAATGAACTGTTTTCTTCTTCAGGCCTAAGCGTTTTGCTGCCCTACACTGTATGATGTTCTGCAGGAAAAATTTCCAGGTATAATAATTTTCTTCCTTGCCATCTCCCTATCTCTCAATACTTAGCTACAGATATATGTATAATACTTTATTCATGATGTAGCCAGTTCCTTGTTATTTATTATTGTGAAATTATTCTCCCAAGATCATACCATATTAGCATAAAAATTCTATGAGGTAGGGTTCAGTGTAGTTGATAATAAGATTTATTTTAACTTCACTGTATAGCATTAATAAACTTATAACAGGTCTCCAACACAGACTATGTCTAAACTCATCTAATGGGCTTCCTCATTTGTATTTTTAATGATAATATAAGTACTGGCCACCCCAGTACCAAAGTACCATCACTGTCTCATTTATAAGACAGAGTCTGAGCTACAGAGGTGGAATTTATGCTTTTACAGAATTCTACATAATTTGTATTTAATGTGAGAAACACTGTCTCCTGGGGATTCTTATGTGCTGCAAGATTTAAAACCACTGATTTGATGCCTGAAGAAGATTTGAAAGTCACTGGGTCATCAGTGGCAGCATCTGCAGGTGAGGTCTCTGGTATGTGACCTCTGCATATCCTCCTACACTATATGGGTTCCTCACATTTACAAGGGAAGCAGGATTGTGAGAAACTAGCTACACACCTTTCTTGTGTTTCTTGTCTCTACAATCAACACATAATGCCCATTTATACACACTGTGCCCTCATCTACTTTAAAAAACACCAGCAAGTTGCAGATCCCAGCAGTTGAATTCAGTAATAGTATTTTAGAGAGCTTCCCATATCTCTTAATGCCCCTCCTCTATTTTCTTTGTCAGCTTCAAGGCATACTAGAGTTTGTGGGTATTGCCGAGAATCTCAGAAGTGTGTGTGTGTGTGTGTGTGTGTGTGTGTGTGTGTGTGTGTTTTTAAGCTCACAGCCCACATTATACTGGTGATTGAATAAACCAACTGCAAGGCCAGTCATTAGACTGGAGTCCCTGGGGTGAGTGAAGTTACCGACCTCAGCACAAGACAATTGAGGCCGAAATTTTCTTCAGGGGACAGAACCTTTTCTCTTACATTCAACTGATTGCATGATGCTTCATTTGGGAAGTGCTGCATTTAACATGGCTGCCGGGCGTTCGAACCGCGATCCCCACAAGGTGAGGATTGGAGATGAGTAAGCACGCCTTTCGCCAGCCCATGCCGCCCCCATTACCCGGGGACACTCAAATGCAACGCGGAGCTTAGTCGAGCTGGGACTCATTTATTGAAAGTGTTCCAAAGCTTATAAAAGCACCTGGAACTTCCCTCCTCAGCAGTGCAGAAGTATTCTTCAGACTTTCAAAGCAAGCCAGGCCACGCACCCAGTAACTTCCTTTTGGACCTATGCAAGGTGGGACTTTTAGGTCCCCACACATGGCTGTGACAATTCAACAGAAGATAACTAATAGGCAATGGGGTGCAAGAGTTCTGTAGGGTATACAGACTTTTACAACCAAGTTTCAGAAAGAAATCTAAGCTACCAGTGTGCATGAATTATCCTTATGTATATATGAATTACAAAAAAGATGCAAACTTGTGAGGGCCATCAATGTATTAAAGAGATCCTAATAGAACAGGAGCCTATTTTAACTACCTAGGATAATCATTCAGGGAGGTCAGAGAAAAAAGCAAACATATTTGTGTCCCATAAGGAAAGAGCTACAAGTGTTTAGGAAAGATCAGAGTGATAAAACATGCAAGAAGCTAAGAAAGGTTTAGTGATTGTGGAGATTATAAATACTTGGTGTGAGAGTTTATAATTATGGTCATGATTGTGAAGTAAATTGTTTTACAATGCATAATAGACCAAGAGTGTAGGAATCTATTTATTTTTATTTGGATTTCTAAGGCTCTATATTATTTTCTCTTAAAGATCCTGGAGACAAAGCATGACAGAAAGGAACCTAACTCTGATCTCAGAGTTCCTCCTTCTGGGCCTGCCCATCCCACCACAGCACCAGCACCTGTTCTATGCCCTGTTCCTGGCCATGTACCTCACCACCATTCTGGGGAACCTTCTCATCATTGTCCTCATTCGACTAGACTTCCATCTCCACACACCCATGTATTTGTTTCTCAGCAACTTGTCCTTCTCTGACCTCTGCTTTTCCTCTGTCACGATGCCTAAATTGCTGCAGAACATGCAAAGCCAAGTGCCTTCCATCCCCTATGAAGGCTGCCTGGTGCAACTGTACTTTTACTTGTTTTTTGCAGACCTTGAAAGCTTCCTCCTTGTGGTCATGGCCTATGATCGCTATGTGGCCATCTGCTTCCCTCTGCACTACACCAGCATCATGAGCCCCAAGCTCTGTGTGTACCTAGTAGTGCTGTCCTGGGTGCTGACCACATTCCATGCTATGTTGCACACCCTGCTTACAGCAAGACTGTCTTTCTGTGGAGACAATGTGATCCCCCATTTTTTCTGTGATGTCTCTGCTCTGCTGAAGCTGGCCTGCTCTGACACTCATGTGAATGAGTTAGTGATATTCATTATGGGCGGGTTAGTTATTGTTATCCCATTCATACTCATCATAGTATCCTATGCCCAGATTGTCTCCTCCATTCTCAAGGTTCCTTCTGCTCGAGGTATCCACAAGGTCTTCTCCACCTGTGGCTCCCACCTGTCTGTGGTTTCACTGTTCTATGGGACGATTATTGGCCTCTACTTATGTCCATCAGGTAATAATTCTACTGCAAAGGAGACTGTCATGGCTATGATGTACACAGTGGTGACCCCCATGCTGAACCCCTTCATCTACAGCCTGAGAAACAGAGACATGAAAGGAGCTCTTGCAAGAGCTTTTTGTAAGAAGATTAATTTCTGTCTGTGATGGTTAAATTTGTTATTTTTAGAAAATTGTATCCAGTAAATATTAATATGTTGATATTAATAACTATTAATGTGGGCATGCTATTCCAGATTTCCTCCTCCCCACTGATGTATCTATTAAAAAAACATAGACATAATCCTAATTGTTCAATATCCAAAAGACAGGAAGTTTAAGTGTAAAGTTGAAGAAGGGAACTGGCTTTGATAGACCTGACTATGCCTTCACTTTTGCTTTGCTCAGATTACTCTAGAAAAGCATACTATTAGTACTACTATTTGGGGGCTAGAGAGTTGGATGAGTGATTAAGAGCACTGGCTTCTCTTGTAGAGGACCCAGGTTGGATTCACAGCATCCATATGGCAGCTAACAACTATCTGTAACTCCAGTTCCAGGAGAAATCAACACCCTCTTCTGACCTCTGTGCCATTGCATGACATGGGTGCACTTTCAAACATGCAGGCAATATATTCATATACATAAAATAAAATAATAAAACAAAAAAAACTAGTGCTTGGATTTTAAAAAAAAAGAACTACTATTTTAGTGATCTTGATTCCTTACATCTTAAGTTACCCAGAATTTTATCAATTTATCCTGAGTTCTGCTTTGACTTTGATTTTATTTTTGAATTGCCCTCAAAAACTCGTGATAACAAAGTCCATAATAAATACCCCAGTATCTAAGCCTACCTCCTCCTAATGTTTCCTACATGCTATTTTTGAACAAATCTTGGCATACTTTTATTTAATTATCCCATACTTCCTATTTATTTTTAATGTCTGTTTGGGAGTTTTTCTTATCTCGTCTGACCATAAACATATTCCCTTTCTTTTTGTATAACAGAGTCATTTGTACAATTCTGACTTTACACGCAATTAACTAATAGCTAGAGACCTGAGATTTTATTTCTCTGGGACTATAGAAGTTGTGGTTAGCTACTCCACAAAGCAACTCGGTTCCAACCTGCAGAACTTCCACCTGGGTACCTGGATTGGGGGGTGGGGCCGTGGATGGGACAAGCGACAAGAGAAATGGAGACAAGACAGGAGTCTGATCAAGTCTCATTTATTGAAGCTCAAGCATGAGTTTTTATAGAGAATGAGAACAAAGGTACACAGACTGCAAAACATTACATCAGTCAGAGCATGAGGGCTCTGACGCACATTAAGGGAGGAATCTTTGATTATAGAAGAATAGAACCGTATGCTGAAAAGGAGAGCAAGGCCGTGGGCCAAGGCTATCTAGCAAGGCTATCTGACCCCGGCTTAAGCCAAGGTTTTGGGCCAAGGTTGTAAGCCCCAGCCGCCTGCCAGAGTTTCCAGGCCAAGGCTGCGGGAAGGATGGAAAGCTGCCAGCTCAGGCCTGTCAGCAGTTTTGAGAGGAAAACCGAGACTCAGTTGAACCTCAGGCTCCCAGGCTCCCAACAAGATGTAAGCTTGAAACTGATAGTTCTGTTTTTAAGAAGGATACCTCATCTGTTTCATATTTTGCTACATAAAATTTCTTATTTTAAATTTTCTCATTATGGGGCTGGAGAGATGGCTCAGTAGATAAAATGTTTTCTGTGTAAGCATGAACACCTGAGTTCAGATCTCCTACACCCACGTAAAAGCTGAGTTTAATGGTTCACCTGCAACCACAGCACTGGGGGTGGAGAACAGAGAAAGGCAGATCCATGAGGCTCACTGGACAGACAGTCTAACTGAAACAGTGGGCTCCAGGTTCAGTAAGAGACCCTATCGCAACAAAATAAATCAAGAAGCAATTAAGGGAGACATTCCAACATCAAACTCTGGTCTCCATATGAACATTCATGAATGAGTATACCCATACACACACAAACACACACACACACACACACACACACACACACACACACACTAAATAGATAATCAACATCCTTATTTTTTCCAAAACAGTAAAAGTCTTTTATTGTGCCAAAAGAGTGTCTATAATCCAGGGTCTTGTTTCTGGAGCTGGATGACTGAGATCTTACTTAGCCTGTTACACTGTTCCTTTCTCAGAAACAAAGGTACCATCTAAATTTTTTCTGATATCCTTGATTTTGACTGTTGTGACTTGCTGAATCACAGATGCTGAATTTGAAACAAGTTCAATATCATTTCCTTCAAGGACTCATCCATCCAACTGGGCTTGATAAACAAAGCAAACAATTCTTGTCCTCATCCAAACTCTGCGGATATATTTTTTACCCAAGAAATTTTAGATTTCAACAAGAGACCCAATTCTCCTGAATAACAACATTGATAGGGAAGTGACCATGAACAACCTCATATCGTCACGAAAGCCCAGTGTAACACCCTTGATCATGTTCCAGACATTGCTACAGATAGTTCATACAGTGGCCAGTTACTTTCTGTATCCCCACCATCTGTCAACCCTCAGCCTCTTATTTTCTTTCAAAGGAGGTTTTGTTCTACATTATTGTGATTGAAGTTCCTCTAGAGGATTCTTCTGGGACCCTTCACAATAACTGTGTGCCCCATTAGAGTGCTGTCGACATTTTCTGGAGTGTCGACCATCTGGTTGCTGAGGGTTCCCCATTCTCATGTAGATGCAGCAAAAAGGGAGTGGCTAAACATCCTTACCTTATTCCTGTTTTATTGTCCCTCAGTGACAATTCCAATGAAGTCAAGAAGATACTGTTGCTCTCTTACAGTCCTAAAAAATGAACTTCAGTGACTTCCCACAACATGTAGAACCACGATCGCTGAGTCCATGTAAGACGTCAGGTTACTCGATTTTGATTACTTCTCATTTTCTTCCACTCCAGAAAGGAAGCAGTCATTCTTTTATGTGTTTGTGGCAAGTACTTACATTTTTAAAAATTTTTACAAAAACTTTATTGAGAATTTCATACATGTATATAAGGTATTTTGATCAAATCTATGCCCACTCCCTCCCCTCCAACATTCCCCACCTCCGAGAAGTAACCCTAAAATCTTTTAAGGTTTAGATACAAGCTCCCAAATACGTTTGATATTTTTTGCCTTTGGAACAGAGTATGTTGCCAACAGGCCCAAGGACGTTTTGACTTTTAGCCAAGAAACTGGCTACATTTCTTTGGGGTCTTTTTACCCTAACTGCCTAGACACTTCCTACCTCCTGTTCTTATCACACCATCCTCTGAAAGAGTTACCCAAATTGCCAATAGGGAATAGGGATGTCGACCACTCTGGCTTCTTCCATGATGAACAGGGATGCAGGTTGAGGCAACTGGAGTACCCCTTCGGTGGGTCTATCTAAAAGACCGTCAAATTGCATAACTCTTGTCTCTAAGGGAAGAAGAAAGTCCTTGAATCATGGATAGGAGATGTGAAGGAGAAGTAAAGGCAAGAGTAATTAGCATTACAAATTCTAGACAGGGAAATAGAAAAAAGTCAGAAAGGGAAATTTTCAAATGTTCATATGAGAGTCCATTGGAGTTTTCTTTCTAGACAAAGGCTTCCAAAAGTATCCCTCTATTGGGCTCTTCCTCGCTTTTCGTTTGTCTTCCAAGGCTGGACTAGTTGGCTGTGAAGAGTGGCTGGATACTCAGGTGAGGGTCCAGTGACCCTGCTTGGCACTCCTTTAGTTAATGAGCACAACCATCAGAAAGCCCAATTGTGACTATGTTTAGCGATCAGGCTCAGCTGAAGTCATGATGATGGTAGTTATTTCATGCAGAACTGACTGCTGTATAGCATCATCTTATTAAAACCTGGGACCTGTAATTTAAAAGGATTTGGTGCTAGGAGCCACATATGAGGGAAAACATATGTCATTTGTTTTTCTGAGTCTGTTACTTCACTTAGTATAATAGTTTCTGGATCCATCCATTTACCTGAAAATTTCATTATTTCATCTTTTTTTACTGCTGAATAGAACTCTATTGTGTAAACATACCACATTTTTCTTAACCACTCGTCAGTTAAGTAACATTTAGTTTGCTTCCATTTCTTAGCTATTGTGAAGAGAGCAGTAATAAACATGGATATACAGGTATCTCTACAGTAGAATGAGTCCTTTGGATTTATGCCAAAGAATGGTACAACCGGATCATATGATAGATTCAATTTTAATTTTTTAAGAGTTCTCCATACTGCTTTCCATAGTGGCTGCACAGTTTGCAATCCCAACAGCAATGAATGCTTAGGGTGGTTTTAATTTGCATTTCCCTAATTACTAACGATGTTGAACACTTTTTGAGATGTTTCTTAGCCATCTTTATTTCCTCCTTTGAGAATTTTGTTTAGCCCTTTAGCCCATATTTTAATTGGATCATTTGGCTTCTCGATTCTTTGTTTTTTGAGTACTCTATATATTCTGGATGTTAAACCTTGTTAAATCTCTGTCAGGTGTATCACTAGTGAAATTTTTTTCCCACTCTGTAAGTTTTCTCCTCACTTTTTGACTTTCTTTTGCTGTACAGAAGATGTTTAGTTTAAAGAGGCCCCACTTCTTGATTGTTGACCTTAATTCCTGACCAACTGATGACTGCTTTAGAAAGTGCTTTCCTACACCTATATTTTCAATGGTTTTCTTTTACTAGTTTCAGAGTTTTGAGTTTCACATTGAAGTCTTTGATCCATTTGGAGCTGACTTTTCTGCAAAGTGAAACATAAGGATCTAGTTTCATTCTTCTACAGGTGGAGATCCAGTTTTGCCATTACCATTTGTTGAAGATGCTCTTTCTTCCATTGTGTGTTCTTGGCATCTTTGTCAAATATCAGGTGGCTGAAATTGCATGTACTCAGGTTTGGATCTTCAATGATGTTCCATTGATTTTTGTGCCTGTTTTTGTGCCAGTACTATGCTGTTTTTTTGGCTATGGCTCTGTAGTATACTTTGAGATATGGTATAGTAATCCCCCCAGCATTGCTCTTTGTGCTCAGGATGGCTTTGGCTATCCCAAGTGTTTTTTGCCTCTGTATGAATTTAAGGATGGATTTTTCTAATTCTGTGAAGTATGTCATGGGGATTTAGATTGGGATTGCATT